ACTAAATACTAATACTACTACTACCAATAATAATAATAAGTGCGATTTGTGATCATAGTCCAATATCAGGTGGTAAAACAAATTATGTCATGCACGTAGAATAGTTCGTAGAATGTTAGAGATCTTGGGAAAACAGAATGTAAAATTAATGGGATGAATAGGATCAGTGGACAGATGAGTGCATTACACAATATAGTGCGGATGCTAGCCATCTCTGTGGTCAGGATTCAGTTCCCGACCAGGAATGCAGTTGTAGACCTTGCTGAATGGATTGTAATCCCTGTAAGGAGGGAAGGTTGGGTTCGAGGCCAACAACTTCATCCTATATAAAAACAAAGTCACCACTACCACCCTCTGTAAAGCTCTATCATGTTTTAGGCTATAAGGCACAAGGGCTGTTTCGCATCTGATGATACTACCAAGCTATCCAGGCTTGATGTAGCTGAAACCATGAGGAGTCGAACCCAGGACCCATTAGCTTCAAGTGAAGTCTTTAATCCCTAATAAGCCGATTCTCCTTAATTTTTTTAAAGTTGTTGCACAAATCCTGGTAAAGATTCAACAGAAATGTAAAAAGACTTATTTATTATGTTGTGTCAACATGAATTAGCTTTGTAGCATATCCGGGATTCAATCAAAGCGCTTTCAACAGTCCGTGTATAATCAATTCTTGAAGATAGGAATACAAAGAAGTCACAGGATTTGATCGTAGGTGTCTTCGTTGGCCTCTTTCAAGTCACAGATGAAGATTTCAAAGAGAGAGGGAGAGAGAGATAGGATCGGAAAATCAAGGCAGATGCTTTCATTAATCTGACAAAAATCATCGTGTGGAAATACACTCCACTCACTAGATTCAGATTTCAAACACTAATGTCAAGTTTCCAAGATATAAGCTTTTGATTGGACGCTAGTAACTAGTGGGATGTGTCTAGTCCTCTGTTTGGTACGGACTGAATTCTATCAGTCACGTGTGCAATGTGGACACCATTCTAAGTGGTTCGCCGTCACGGTGCACTTTAAATTGTTGAAATTAGATGGTTCAAATTGTGTTGTGAACTATATATGGATCGACTTCTAAATTATCATAATAAAAGTAGACTACTGAATAAGGTTAAGTAGCTTAAAGAAATACTGCAATAATCAAATTGGACTTGTATGTCCATTTTATGATAGAAAAAAGTAGATTACTTCTCAATAAAAGTAGAAGAATATTATGAAATGTCATAAAACTAACCAAGGTGGGATTGTATCAACAATGCAATTTGAAATTTTCCACTTTTTTGTTTCATTCCTTTGCTATCAAAGTGAAAATGTAACAATGAATGAGGACGAATACTTGCCGTGGATGACACTGGCTGTTGATGGTCGGTAGAAGTTAGAGTTCCTGTGTTAGCCATTGAATAGGTTTCCAGTGGGTAAATGGTCTACTAGCTTCACTTGTAAGTGGAGCTGGTGGGATGGGTGCGTACTACTGATGACTATCAGAATAGAATGAAAGAGCTGCGTATTAATCCGGTCCTGGGTTTCAGTGGTTCTCTAACTGATATCGATCACCGGCCAAACTTGTAACATTTGACTTAAGCTTAAGCATACATTTTTAAGTTGTAATGGTAGCATTGTTTTTAATGGTGTCAGGTATTTAGTGTCATGTCAAACTTTCACTAAGCGAGGATTAGGAGTTATTCGGCGACCAAGAATTGAAACGAGTCAATCATTTCCAGGTGATTCACCCTTTAAAGTTGTTTGCAAGGCTAAACTCAGTTAGTCACTCTAAAAGTAAATGTTTTCTCCACTTACGTAATGTATAGCTGCGACGCTAGCTATATACGGACAAAAATAGCATAACATGTATTCAAAGGCGTTTTCTAGATCGATTACGAACTGACTTGGTTGGAGGAACATTGATAACTTGAAACAAGTATTGGACAGCTGTTTCGTCCATGTTTTCGAGATCCTTCAGCATCATAAATCCATAGCCCCATTAGAATTCGAACGCAGAGACTTGAGTTCATCAGACGAGCGAATTGACCAACATACCACCAAGTTAATGACAGCTGTTGATGAAACTGTCCAGTAGCCTGTTGAAAATACTAATTCGTAATATATTGCACTACCAGCATCCAATGCCATGGGTGGCTATCTGTCCTCCCACTTGACTTGGTGGACCAACTAATCACGACATCCACCTAGAATTCATTATTATTAGCATAATTATTATTGTGTTCTAGGGTTCCAAGTGGATCATAGGGCCTCAACAGAACACAGTAGAAGTACTTTAGATTCAGCCGCAGTCTTGTATCATAACATTGTCTGTAGCTTAGACAAGGGGGCTAAATTTGTTCGCTGCACCTTTCTAGATTATACATCTGCTTTCGACTCAGTACCTAGGGACATTTTACTAAACAAGCTTGCTGAAAATCAAACCGACTGCTTGGTTGTCAAATGGCTCCATTCTTATTTCTCAGGAAGAAAGCAATACACTGTATGTCAGGGAAAGTCGTCCACTTCATTGCTTACTGAGGCTGGTGTCCTTGAGGGACTCAAGGCGCTGTCCTTTCTCCTTTTCTGTTTTCTTTCTTCTTGCATGACTTGCCTCACTCCGATGAAATGAATTTTGTTAAGTATGCCAATGATCTAACTATTTCAATGTCTGTTAACTCTCAGCTTGACTGTATTAAGATTAACAACTTTCTATCAGAAATTAGCAAATGATCTTCGTCTAACGGCCTTAAACTTAATCCTTCCAAATGTCAGACTATTAATTTCAGTTTCCGATGTAAACGAAAGTTAAATGAAGCCCTTGGTTCCTATGGCCCTCGCAAAATCGATGATACTGATATAGAAACCAAGCCTGAAGTTAAGTATCTTGGATTAATTTTCTCTTCTGACCTATCCTGGTCCTCTCATGTCTTAGCGATTTCTAAAAGAATATTTCGTTTGACTTTTTACTTTAACAAATTAAGGCACTCAGGCATAACTCAACCACTCCTCTTACAGTTTATCAACTCGTGTATTTTACCTATTCTTCTTTACTGTTCACCCGTACTCTTTCCTGGATTGTTTAAAAAAGACTATGTCATACTTCGTAGAACTCTGAAGAGTGTCAGTAGGACGAGTGGTATCCCATTGGGCCATATTGTTGACATCGTCATTGATCATAGGCACTTGATGTCATAAAACAAATTCGCTAAAGGAATTTTATCAGACTCTGAGCACCCACTCTACCCCCAGCTCCAACCTTGTGTCTCCTCTTCAGGTTAAACAAGAAGTCCTTTCAGGAGACTTTATGCACATACGTCTAGGTATAAAAATTCCACTATACCATATTTGGCACGTGCTTTATGTGATGAAAATAGTGTCAGGCATGAACTAACTAACCTTCTTTGTACCACTAAATAAACCATTTCCTCCGACCTTACAGTATCAAACTTTATTGTTATTGTATTTCTTATATTTATAATCCTTTCAATTTTTTCATTTTGTTTATTTTTTTTCATAAGTGTGAACATAATTTAAGCTTTATTATAACTGTTAATTTTGTATTTCCCCTCACTATACTATATCAACAGAACATTAGATCCAATAATCTATAACTTGCTAAAGTTTCCAAACTGAATCGACAATATCATTTGAAACAAACTCACTGTTATTATTATTATGTCTAATAATTATGTCGTAAATGTGGACAAATTCCTCTGGTTAATTTTGTTTGAATTTTGAATTTTATACATATTTTGAGTAAATCAGATGCAATATTGTGACAAATACTGAGAATTCCATTCTGTATTATAAGTACTGTTTTTGGAATAAAGTAAATCATTATTATTATCTTCACTTCCTCCTACTTTCAGCGATTTTCTTCAGTTAACCTGACGATCGCCCACTCCAAACTATCTCCTCATTATCACCCGACTCCCGACTCATCGTTTTCCACTCAGGTCCCACTCCAGCGATAGTCTGGATGGCGCGCAATGTCATTCGATGGCCTCCTCAGCGTCTGTCTTATCCATCTCTATTTTTATCGTGGTATGTTTTGAGTGGGGAATAGGTTCCTGGTTGGTTTGTTCCCATAGTTTCTTGGGGCTGATTCTTTCTCGCCAATATCCGACCAGTGAAGGCAGCTGTTGATTGAACTGTGCAGTCTCCTGACAGAAATGCTTTTCGTTATGCGCTGACCAGGTTTCTGACCTGTGTAGAAGACATGACTGACTTATTATTCATGTTGAAGATTCGACTTTTGATCTTTATGGTGTGGTGAAGTGCAACGGCAGATTCCTAAGGTGACTTCAGAGTGATGAACGTCTGTCTTGCACTTCAGGTGCTGGCTAATTTCGAATTTCTCATCCATTCGATGCGTCGTAATTGAAACGATTCTGCCTAGACAAATGCAGGAACTGACCTCTTCCAAGTTTGTCCCTCTGGTGATGATTGGTAGTAGTTGTTGTTGTCGTTTTGTGTCGTTTATCTTCATCACGTTCATTTGAGGTCCTGTCTTCGCTGCTTCTTCAAACAGTTTGTTGGTTTTCGTCTGTAGATGTTCGAGTTCGTGTGGCATCAAGTATAAATCACCCGTATGATGCCCATATCTTCTTGAGTTTTCGTATCGACCCAACTTGTCCGTGTCATCTCGCCCCACACCCATGGTGTTCCGCATAATGCAGTCCACCAAAATTAGGAATATCATCATGGGTGATATTAGGCAGTCTTGTCTCAGTCCTTTTTTTCTGTGCTTAGGACCGGCTAGGAAATTAGCTAACTAGTAAACTAAGCAAGGTCCCTTAGAATTCATATGCTCAAGGATTTCAACCCAATGGTTGAATGACTCACCTTGTGACTTCAGGGTGTTGGGTTCGATCTCTTCAAGAAAGTTACAGTACTACTCCCTCGTATCAATGATCCTGTAACTGCTGATCTTTAAGTTCGTCATCACTTAACTCAAAAGTTTTGCTATTTGTTATTATTATTTTTAACTTTTATTTCCATTTTGCTTTTAATCTCAGCGCTGAAATTCTTCTTCAACAAGAAGTAGATCTATGGCAAGACTGTTTAAATATGGAACGTCGTATCGCCTGTTGGGAGAAGAATGAATTAAAAACAGAAGACAAAATAATTTTAAATTTGCAGAAAACAACCTCTGGTTCTTCTAGCTTGTCTACACGTTTAGGAATAAGAAATAATAATCTACCACCGGAGATCAACGATTTTCAGGTTAGTATTCATCTTAATACTTTGTTTGCTTCCCGGAGTGGAACATAGAGGCAGCTTCAAGCTACTTGAGTTTTTAATTTTCAGTAGCAGTGATGTTCATTTTTTCTGGGTTAAGGTTTCTAACCACGAACATCCCAACCTTCTGTGACTTATACTATCGGTTAAGCAGAGAGTTGTAGAAGTTTGTCGGCGGCTAGGGACTGAATGAAGAACCACTTGCAATGTCATTGTTGGCAAGTATTCTACCACTGAACCACTGATGTTTAAATCAAGGGAAACTGGACTGGATAACTTTTTTTATTCTCCCAGCTTGGGAGTCTTCAGTGGTGAGCATATATTACCCCACCTTTTGGGGATATAAGTCGGTACTCACTCGAACCGATCCGTCCGAAAATTAATCTACTGCCCACTACTGACCGACTGCAGGAGTAAGAATTTGCCCGAAGTGTTCTAGATAGAAGTTATGACCAGCACACGGGTCCACCAGGTAAGTTGTTGTGTGTGAGAGCAGATAACCCGGTGATGACACTGGATGGTAGTGGTGGCGCTTCATGTATCATAAATCAGTTGACTTTTGAAATGATAGGCTGCCTTGCCCAGTGAATTTCATCGTAGTGGCTCAGTAGCACACCTGCTCGCCTTGTAACCTTAAGCTAAGGGGTTCAGTCCTCGTTAAGGTCATGGGTGAGTACTGAAGCCAAAATATGCGTCTAGTGCTCCCTACTAGTGATTTTCAATAGTTCGCCTACTGAAGTTAGCTCATGGTCTATGCTGAAATGCAAATTAACCCGCAAATGAATAATAACTGATGCCCATTGCACCAAAGACGTTGTTCTGGTCGCCCTAGTGGTCAACTGGATAGTGATTTGGCGTTTGACACGAATGGATAGGGGGTTCGGGTTTCATTTTGAGGATCGTTATACACAGAGAATATAGGTACAACGAGTCTAAAGGAGGGCGAAGTGTAAATCCCCCTAGTTACTATCAAATAGGATAACGTGTCGGTTTTCAGGGATTTGAATAGTCACAGGTTCGGTCACGAGACATAAGTAAAAAATTTAGGTGCTGTGGTAAAGTATAACTCCATTATAGATGGTCACGAAACGACTGACATCAGTTAGCGAACCATTGAGAAACCATCACTGGAGTACTGGATAGCTATTCGGTTCACCTAGTTTGGGAGTTTTCAGTAGTACGTACACACTGGGGTTTGAACCCGGGATCTTCCAGTTACAAGGCGAGCTCGTAGACTATTCTGTCACCGGGATAGGACACAGTGGCCAACTCATGAATTCCAGCTTCTGCCGATTCGCGATATATACAACGCCACTACCTCCACCCGTTGTCATAGGTGGGGAGTAACTGATCTCTTACTTGACTTGATGGACCCCTGTGCTGGTTAAGACTTTCCATTAGAATACTCCAGGTAATTAGTTCCTGTATAGAGGTGGTCACTAGTGAGCAAGTGTTGTTTTTCAGGGGGGGATTGAAAGTTGGGCAATGAGTTGACATCAATTAGAGAACCACCGGAAAACCAGTGCTGGAGGACTGTACAGTTGCTTCGCCCGCCTATTTCGGAACTATTCATCTGCGACCAGAATGCTGGATGATTCGTATAATGACACTCCTACTGACTTTCCAGGAATAACTAACACAATCGACTCAGGCGCTTGCAAGACCAAAACTGCATACATTATTATCCTGTGGAACAACCTCTCAGGTACTGTCTCTCGCTCAACAGATATTCGTCTACCAGTCGTGACAATGATGTTGATATGTGAAGAAATATTACTGTCATATGCTCTTACAACGACTAGTTTATGTTCTTAGATTCGTGGTGGACATCCATTTTTGCCAACAGAGCGTTTTTTCACACTTAATGCAATTTATTTTGTAGATGGTATGCTAATTTTGTCTTTTTTGCTGTTATTATTATTATTTCCTTTAGTTCCTAGAGGAACATAGGGCTTCAGCCATGCGTCTCCATTGCGTTCGGTTCTCTGCTAGAGTCTTCACCTGGCTCCAAGTCTGCCCACATGCTTTCATCTCCTCTTCACATGACCTTCTCCAAGTCACCCTTGGACGACAAACTCGTCGCTTCCCTTTCGGGTTCCACTCGAGGGCTTGTCTAGTGATGTCACTTGCTGGTTTCCTCAGAGTGTGGCCAATCCATCTCCATTTCTTCCTCCCTATTTGTTTCACAATTGGTTCCTGGTTGGTTCGCTCCCAGAGATCTTTGTTGCTGATCCTTTCCGGCCATCTGATCTTGAGTATTGAGCGAAGACATCTGTTAATGAAGGTCTGTAGCTTGTTTAAGGTGCTCTTTGTGACACGCCAAATCTCTGATCCGTATAGTAGTACTGACTTCACATTGGAGTTGAAAATCCCGATCTTATTTTTGACGCTGAATGCTGTTGACCTCCACACACACTTGAGAGCAATGAAAGCTTGCCTTGCTTTCCCGATCCTTGCTTTGATATCCTCGTCAGTTCCGCCTGTAGTTGAAACAATGCTTCCCAGGTAGGTAAAGGAGGTAGTTTCTTTCAGGTTCCTTCCATTTATGCTGATTGCTGTCTGTTGTTGTTGCTGTGGCTGTTGGTGTTGGCCAGGAATCTTCATCACCTATCTTTGATGCTTCTTCTGCCAACTTGTTACTTTTCACTTGCATATCTTCCAGTTTGTGGGAAATCAGACATATATCATCGGCGAAGTCCAGATCCTCCAAGTTCTTTGTGTGAGTCCATTTTATGCCTGTTTCCTCATTGCCCGCTGTTTGTCGCATTATCCAATCTACTTCAATCAGGAAAATCAGTGGCGATAGTAGGCAACCCTGTCTTACTCCTGTCTTCACTTCGAAGGATTCCGTGAGCTTCCCGTTGTGGATTACTTGGCATGCAGCGTTGTCATACAACTGTTGGATGAGATGTATAATTGTCGGCGGCACCCCGTAGTAGCGAAGTAGTTGCCAAATCACCTCTCGATCGACGCTGTCAAAGGCATTTTCAAAGTCGATGAAGTTGAGATAGAGAGGTGACTGCCACTCCAAGCTTTGTTCAATGATGATCCGTAGTGTGGCGATTTGATCAATACATGACTTGTTTCTCCTGAATCCAGCCTGTTCCGGTCGAAGTTTTTCATCTAGGGCTTGTTTGATCCTTTCCAGGATGATGCGGCTTAGTATTTTGCTTAAGATGGACAGGAGCATATTTCCGCGCCAGTTCTTGCATTGACTTAAGTCTCCTTTCTTTGGTAGTTTGAATAGGTATCCTTTCTTCCAATCCTCGGGTACTTTGCCTTCTTTCCACACCTTCTCCAGTAGTGGCGTCATCAAGTTTGCTGTTGTCTCTGGGTCCACTTTCAATGCCTCTGCTGGGATTCCATCTGGTCCTGCTGCTTTTCCAGCTTTCAGCATCTTGAATGCCTTCAGGACTTCTGATTTCGTCGGGGGGTTGGTGTTCACTGGTAGCTCTGTCTCCGTCGTTGGTATTGTTGGGCGCATTGTAGGTGGTGGTCGATTTAGAAGTCTTTTGAAGTGTTCAGCCCAGTGTTTCCTTTGCTCCAGTTCTTTGGTGATTGACTTTCCGTTGTCATCCTTCACCGGCTTAATTTGTGTCAAACGTTTGCCCGATATGTACCTAGTTGTTTGGTAGAGTGTTGCGAGGTCTCCTTTGCCTGCAGCTTGTTCTGCTTCACTTGCCATGGTTTCATAATACTTTCTTTTGTCTTCTCTGGCACTCTTCTTTACTCCTTTGTTCAGTGTATTGTAGCTTGCATTCAACTCCTGTTTCTGTTGCTCGTCGGTGCACTGGATAATCTTTTGTTTCACCATCCTTCTCTCTTCTATTAGCCTCCAAGTGTCCGTAGTGAGCCACGGTTTGTCCTGTCTCTTCTTTCTGCCCAGAACTTCCATGCAGGTTTCGCTCCATACCGCTTTCAGGTTGTCCCAGTGTTTTTCGTCGCTGACCTCTTCGCTAATGTTGATTTGTGTCTCAGCTTTGTCCTTTATGGTTGCAGTGAAGATGTCCTTTGTATCCTGGTCCTTTAGTTTTTGAGTGTTGAACTTGGCTTGTGGTCTATCTGCAGCTCCTGTTTCTCTGAAAGCTTCTAATTTGAGTTGGATTGTTCCTTGTACGAGGTAGTGGTCTGAGCCAACGTCTGCTCCTCTTCTTGCTTTTGTGTCCAGTAGGCTGCGCCTCCACTTCCTCGAGATTGTGATGAAGTCAATTTGGACTTTTTAATGAAGTGACTGTTTCCTTTTCCACACCAATATCTATTCTGAATACTCTCAGTCTTCTGGCATTTATTTCAGATATGTTCATAAAATATGGTACATAAATTTGCTCGGTTACTCTCCACTATCCTGTTCTTAAAACAAGGCTGCCCATTATCACCAATGATATTCCTAATTGTGGGGGACTCGATTATGCGAAAAACTGTGAATAAGGAGTGAGAAGGCAGGTATACTTTGGACTGATACGAGGACTCTAAAAGATCCGGGTGATTCATGTCTGATGTAACAAAAACTCGAAGATTTACAAATGAAAACCAAAAAGCTGGCAGAAGAGGTAGGCGAAACTCCAGGTGAACACAGAGAAGACTGATGAAGATAACCAACACAAAACAGCAAACATGATCAAAGCTAATCACCACCTACGGGCGCAATTAGAAAAAGGTTGCTTACTTCACTTAACTGGGAAGTGTCGTTTCAGCTACAACTAGCGGAACGGATGAAGATTTCAAAGCCAGGATCGGAAAGCCGAGATAGACATTCATCATTATTAAATCAGTTTAGTAACCGTCTTCACTCTGCCTCAGCATAAACATCAAAATTCGGATTTCCAGAAACAATGTCAGGTCAGTCAGTCCTTCTATAAGGGTCAGAAACTTGGTCAGTGAGTCACGGAAAGCATTTCCAACAAGCTGCTGCAGATTTCTATCAACAATTGCATTCGCTGGCGCAATAGTGCGTCGGTGGCACAGTGGTTAGGACTCTCGCCGAC